TACAGAGTGAGTTCCAGGACAGCCTCCAAAACAACACAGAGAAACCCTGTCTCGAAAGAAAAAAGAAAGAAAGGGATAAGACCGAGACTTTGGCAAATCTTAGAGCTGCATCTCGTAGTCCTTTACGCCGTCCTTGTTCAATGCAGCCACAGTGCCCCGTGTGCACCAGGAAGTGGGAAAGCTGGTCCCCTTCACGCCGAGGGAACTAGACACCACCACCCAAAGAACAAGGCAGAAGAGAGAGGCCTCCACTCCAAAGAGACACAGAAGATTTTGCCATCTTAGCCTGGTAAACTGGGAGCCTGTTTCTAACTGGAACCTGCAGGCCACTCCGTGAGGGTAACCCTGCCATCCTAGTTTGCCTCCTTCTGAGGTTTACTTGACTTATAAACTTCCCACATCATGCAGGGGTGTCAGGGCAAGAACTCAGGGCAGGAACTGCCGTAGAGGCTACGAAAGAATGCTGCTTTCTGGTTTGCTCCCCCATGGCTTGCTCAGCCCGCTTCAGAATCCCACTCAGGACCACCCTGCCCAGGGGCGGGACCACCCCAGCCCACATCAATCTTTAACGGAGGAAAAGCATCACAGATCCTGCCCAGAAGCCAATCTGATGGAGGCAAATCTTCAGTCGAGGTCCCTCTTCTCAGATGACCCTAGCTTGTGCCAAAAAAAAACAAAAAACAAAAAAACTCACTGGCTCACCTGGCGACTGTTGCCTGAGGTGGTTGTGAAACCTAAAGAGAGTAAGGGATGTGGGGGAACCAGTCACCTTCACGGAAAGGTGTAAACACAGAGGGGACAGTGCTGCCACCGCCTCCTGGGGATCAGAGAACTGCCTAAGCCGAAGACCAGCTGTCCCCTTGGGCGCACTTCATCCGTGGGGGTGAGGGTGACAGGCAACACCGAGCCAGGAAGAAAGACGCTCCTCCTCATCCAGCCACAGAGCGGCAGGGCATGTCATGAGCATGGCATTACACCTGCATGCGGTGTGCACGTATGTATACTGTCCACGAAGCACTCATACTTCATGGCTTCCCTCCAACCGTATCACAGGATCGCAAAACACTGACAGAACCCGAGGAAGCACAAGTGGGCATCCCCCATGGGTCCCTCACCCCCCACGGGTCCCTCCGTCAGAAAGTCACCGGCGTGCCTGAGAGGTGGGAGCATGGGCAATATCACATTCCAACTACGGCGGGGTACATGGGCGGATTTCAGCTGCAGGAAACCATACAAGGAATAGCAAGCATTCAGGATGGACGTCAAAGGCGCAAATGAAACTTACAAAAGCCACACACAAAAAAAAATGGGTCAGGCCGGGCGGTGGTGGCACATGCCTTTAATCCCAGCACTCGGGAGGCAGAGGCAGGCGGATCTCTGTGAGTTTGAGACCAGCCTGGTCTACCGAGCGAGTTCCAGTCCAGGACATGGTCCAAAAAACAATACAGAGAAACCGTGTCTCGAAAAACCAAAAAAAAAAAAAAAAAAGGGTCAGGCAAGGCACAGGCTCTGAACATGAGCCCCCACACAGAGTAGAAACCCTCAGGATGGGGGCTGGAGAGATGGCGCAGTGGTCAGGAGCTTTGGGTGCTCTTCCAGAGGACCCGGGTTTCAATTCCCAGCACTCACATGGAGGCTCACAACTGTCCGTAACTCCATTTCCGGAGGATCTGACACCCTCACCCAGACATACATGCAGGCAAAACATCGATGCACACAAAATAAAATTAGTTAAAAAGAAAAAACCCTCAGGATATAAGCAGACCCAACAGGAAATCAGTCCCAAATTAAGTGAGAGGTCTGAAGCATGCTCTTATCCCCACTGACGTGATCAGCTAAAAGTGAAAACTGACTCTTCAGAAATACCACGAGGGTATCAGTATATGCATGTCATGTCATTTATAGAGAAATAAAAACACGTGGGGAAGGGTGCCAGCTTTGGAAATGAAAATTATCAGACTGAGACATAAGCAACTGTCACCATTTAACAGTCTATGTGAGCATTTGTGTCAGGCACCCAGATCCCAGTCAGGCTGTTAATACAACACCTGACAAGACACGAGAAAGTCACTCTGGAGAACCAGAACACCTGAAAACCTCAAGCCAAGTCTTTCCCTAACTAATTCCACCAGTAACTTCAAAAGCCTGGAAAGCAAACTCATGGGTGATCCTATAGGAATGTTTCTAGGTGTGAAACTGCCACAGAATTTTTAAAGTGTTCAATACCTCTTGTGGTTTCTAAGATTAAAGCCAAAGCCTATGTGTGTGCGATGCATGCTTACATGTTGGTATGCACACATGTTGAGGGTGTCTGTGTGTATGACATGTTGGTGTGCACACATGTGAGGAAGTGCTTGTATGTGCTATGCATGCTTACATGTACATGTGGAGGGTGTCTGTGTGTATGTGTATGACATGTTGGTGAGCACACATGTGGGGGGTGTCTGTGTGTTATGTATGTTTACATGTTGGTGTGCACACATGTGGGGGGTGTCTGTGTGTGCTATGTATGTTTACATGTTGGTGTGCACACATGTGGGGGTATCTGTGTGTTATGTATGTTTACATGTTGGTGTGCACACATGTGGGGGTATCTGTGTGTGCTATGTATGTTTACATGTTGGTGAGCACACATGTGGGGGGTGTCTGTGTGTTATGTATGTTTACATGTTGGTGTGCACACATGTGGGGGTGTCTGTGTGTGCTATGTATGTTTACATGTTGGTGTGCACACATGTGGAGGTATCTGTGTGTTATGTATGTTTACATGTTGGTGTGCACACATGTGGGGGTGTCTGTGTGTGCTATGTATGTTTACATGTTGGTGAGCACACATGTGGGGGTGTCTGTGTGTGCTATGTATGTTTACATGTTGGTATGCACACATGTGGGGGTGTCTGTGTGTATGTGTATGACATGTTGGTGTGCACACATGTGGGGGTGTCTGTGTGTATGTGTATGACATGTTGGTGTGCACACATGTGGGGGTGTCTGTGTGTATGTGTATGACATGTTGGTGTGCACACATGTGGGGGTGTCTGTGTGTATGACATGTTGGTGTGCACACATGTGAAGAAGTGCTTGTATGTGCTATGCATGCTTACATGTACATGTGGAGGGTGTCTGTGTGTATGTGTATGACATGTTGGTGAGCACACATGTGGGGGGGTACCCCTTCATGTGCACCATCTTCCTCTGTGGTTCTCTGTCTACCTCACTTTTCAGCCAGGGCCGTTCACTGATTCTGCCTGGCTAGCTGGTCAGACTCCAGGGGCCTCTGTCCTGTCCCCAGTTGGGGTCACAGGGCGAGTGTGGCTTTTCACTGAGGAATGAACTCCTGCACTGACACTTTACACACACCCCAGACATTTCCCCAGCAGGAAAGCAAAGGCATTTTAAGGCCACTCCTCCTACCTTTATTTTATTTTTTCTTTTCCCAAACAAGAAATGCTTTACAAAAGAAATGACGGATGTTATTTTTCATGTTGGGCCTTAAAGGAAACAAACCCTTAAGTCAAGAAACTCCAGGGACTAGCAAAGACCTCACAACCTTCCTCCTTTCCCCTCAGCACCAGGGAACTCCAGTGGCTTTTCCCCGCCCTCCAGCTGCCCCTCGGAGGCCCAGCTCCCCAGGTCCTATCTTTACTGCTTTGGCACTCTGACAGGATATTGGCTGGCCCTCCCTGCTGGAGGTGGCCATGGAAACACACAGAAAGAGCTCCCTGCTCTTTGTGCTCTACCCTAAAGACAAGCAATTGTAAACCCTCCCCATCCCCCACCAATAACCAGACTGGTCACCAGTAATTAAAATGCACATGGACTCCAACGCCTAAGGCCAGAACAGGTCAGAGTGTCTCATCACCACACACACACACACACACACACACACACACACACACAGAGGCTCCCCTACAAGAAACATTTCTGTTATTTTTGCACAAAACCCATTCATTTAAACAGGCAAAACATAATAAGCATCCCCTAATCCCCTAGGAGGGAGAATTAGGCCTGAAAACCCACATACTTTCTTCACATTCATTAAGAATGAAACTTACTGTCCACGAGCACTCTCAGGAGCGTCCGCCCTGACAAAGAGTCGTCAGTAGTCTGCTGACTACTGTTTTCGATTCACAAGGGAAAATGATTCTTGCCAATAGCAAGGACTCACTCGGCGGGGGAACCTGTCTCTAAGACGAGCTGCAGGAGTTGCAATGCCCTAACACCCAACAGGAGTACTGCTGTGGCTTCCCAGACCTCCAGCCTTCACCTTCAGAAACACAACCGTCAAAGCTGACCCAAGCTGATGACCATTCATTCACCCGTGGTCAGGCCATTCCATCACCGCAGAACAGTTCATCAAACTGGTGTGCATTTTACCCCGCTTCTAAAGAACATTGCTCAGTGTGTGTGTGTGTGTGTGTGTGTGTGTGTGTGTGTGTGTGTGTGTGTGTGTATTGAGACCCTCTAACCAGACAAAGAAAACCTCAAACCTTGAAAGTTAAAATAAAAAAAAAAAGACTTCGACATATGATACCTGGAAATGGCTAGCCCTTGATAACTTCCCCAACCAAACTCGCCATTCTCAAATTGCTAGAAAGAACTCATCAAAACTGGGACTGTCTCCCAATCTTGTCTTACTTTTTTTTTTTTAAAGCAATCGTGAACGTTTTTTAAAGACAAGAGTATGAAAACCCCAGCGAGCGCTTCTAGCACGCAACAAAAGTTAGGCGGTTCCACCCAAGCTAGCAAGGAGCATCCCAGAAAGCCGGCTGCAGCTGCCTGTGGCTGGCGACCCGGGGGACTCGGGGGCCACCTGCAGGGTTTGCCGGGGAGGGAGGAGGAGGAGAGGAGAGGAGAGGAAAGCCCGGAGGAGGACACAGAGAGAAGAGGAGGAGGGAGAGACAGAGAAGAGAGGGATGGCGAAGGGGTGGAGGAGGATGAGGGAGGCGGCAGCGGGCGGCGGTCCGCGTTGCATCCCGCGGGAGAGGCGCGGCGCTCACCTGCGGGTTGCGGGGCTGAGGGACCGCCTGGTCCTGTCTCCGTGCGACCGCGTTCTGCGCCGAGGCGGCCCTGGGCGAGCAGGCGGGCGGGCACTTCCGGCGGAGCTGCAGCCCAGGCCCCAGCCCCGCGGCGCCGCCCTCCTCCGCCTGCTCCCCGCCCTGTGCGAGCCGCCCGGCGTGCAGTCCTCCAGGCCTGAGCCACACCGCAGACGGGTGACCTCCGCGCTAGCCGCGAAGCAGGATTTTGTCTCTCAGAACGGGTCTCACTGTGCAACCCAGGATGGCCTCGAACTCGTGGAGTCCCTCCGGGACTCTGCCTCTCTGGCAGCATTTACCATTGGCTTTTGGGGTGCACGGTCCTGGGTTCTGGCTCCGAACACTGGTATTATTGTCCGCACGGTCTGTTTTGTTTTGTTTTGCTTTGCTTTGCTTTTTTCAAGGCAGGGTTTCTCTGTGTAGCCCTGGCCGTCCTGGAACTCGCTATGTAGACCACGCTGGCCTAGAAGTCATAGATTTGCCTGCCTCTGCCTCGCAAGTGCTGGGATTCTTTCCCAGGTTTTTTTTAAGCCTCCCTTTCTTAGTACATGGCTAGGGTTGAGAACAGCTCTCTTTCGAGGCTTCCCAGGTTCCCTGCCTGGCCGAGGAAGCCGGTTCTCTCTGAACACCTCCTTAAAACCCCACCACAATAAACAACTGAGCAGAGCCCCATGACCTCACCCATCCCCCACCCGCTTTTATTCTTCCGGTAGACAACCTGTGGTAGTTTGAATGAAAATGGAACCTCCAGGCTGATTTCGCTTGTGTGTTGGCTTCCCAGTTCCGGGAGAATTAGGAAGCCTGACCTTTTGGGGTAGGTGTGTCGATGGGCTGGGCTTTGGGGCCGGGTTCCCCAGCTCTCTGCCTCCCATTGGTAGGTAAGACATAAGCGTGCCCCCCCCCACCATGATGGTCCTGGACTCACCCTTTGAAACAGTAAACCAGCCCCCAATTTTAAATGTTTTCTTTTACAAGTTAACTTGGTTGCATTGTCTCTTCACAGCAATACAACAGTGGCTGGAGACTGACATTTTCTAGACGGGGCTCTCTCAGAGCATAGGGAAGTTGTTCAGGACCCACCTACCAGTGTTCATTATTAGAAAACTCAAAGACCTGTGGGGGTGGGCGGCCCTCTCCGGAGCCATAGGCTGTTGATTCAGAATCACCTTGCCAGGGTGCCCCGACTTTGACTTCCAAGGAGTACCCCTGTCGGGCTGCTCTGCGTTCTGAAGGGTTCTTGGCCACCAAAACAATGCAGGTAGCTGTCACAGCTGTGGACTGAACGCCAGAACTAAGCTCTAAGACCCTGTGGCTGCTGAAGACTGCACACCATGTGGTTGAGGGGCACGGAGAAGCCAAACCGGGGCCGAGCGGGGAGTTCCTCCACTGACTAGCGCTTGTAGTGTTAGAAGGTACTGTGCAGGCGGCCACAGGAACATGGTCACCCCAGGCTGGGTTGGGGACTCTTCACACCCTGCTATTAGCATGCTAAGGGACATAGTAGAGGCACAGGCTGTTCTGGATGCGTCCAGCAACTTGCCCACTGGCCGAGAGTTCACAGGGAGGCACCTGGCGATTCAAAGGTGCCTTGAGGCAGCTTAGGCCCAGTTACAAACAAAAACAGATCCCTGCTAATACCTGTTCGTCCAGCAGCCTTCCCGACTCTGCTAAGCTACCGCCCTCCCCCTGCCCCCCCTACACACACAAACTACAAGTTTATAGAGTAGAAAAGCAGTAACAGCCAGGCTTGCCTACAAGGTCATGGCCCTAAAAAGCTTTAACATGGAGCTGGGCGGTGGTGGCGCACGCCTTTAATCCCAGCACTCGGGAGGCAGAGGCAGGAGGATCTCTGTGAGTTCGAGATCAAGCCTGGTTCACAGAGCGAGTTCCAGGACAGGCTCCAAAACAATACAGAGAAACCCTGTCTCGAGAAAAAAAAAAAAAAAAAAGCTTTAACATGGACTGAAAGCATAGAGATGATAGAGATGAACCATGGGTGGGCCTTGTTGAGTAAAAGGCCCGCAATATGAGACCAGACGACTTGTAAGACTATTCACAAAAGTGCTCCCTGTGTTAGTGGTTGTAAATTCAGTGCACCTGCCATTCAAGGCTGACTTCCAACTTCGCAAATCTGCAAAATAAACTTCTTGACTTCCAATACTCGGAGCCCCCGGACTCTTTATGAAGTGAGAATCGTTGTTACTCACACAAAAATCATTGTTTTTCTTTTAGGCTATGGCTATCCTGTTCAGCAACTGTAACTCCAAGCAGTTACCAACAGCGGCTGTGCACTAGAGTCAAAGCCTGAGGGAATTCTGTTCCTTTCAAAGGCACTGACTCTTTGAAAGCTACTAAGGAAACTTATTTAAATCTCTGTCCCACTAAAGAACTCAAGATTCAAAGGCTGAGGTGGAATCCCGCTTCCCAGAGAGGCTGAATAGCAAGCAGCTCAGCTCGCTCACCTCTTGGAGCCTCTCAAGAAAGTCCTCATGGGCTTTCTCGCCCCTCCTTATAAACCCTTCTCCGCCTGGCTCCCCCCCCCCCCCCCAACTTCCTGTCAGCCAGTTGCTGGCCCAGCCTCCTGTCTGCAGGTGAATTTTATTTAATCAAACACATCTTTGCGTCATTGGACAAATGTCCCAGAGCATAAACAAAAGTGACACATCTTAAAATAATATCCCACAAGACAAAACCCTGTGTGGCTAGCGAGGTCACAGCTGCAGTGGGGAAGCTTCTACTGTTGTTTAGAACAGATACGCAGCCCCTGTCAAACTGCCCTGTGATTACGCCCGCCTGTTCACACAGGGCAGCCATCAGCAGCCTCCCACCCCCTTCAGTTGCAGGAAGAAATCACCAGTTGTCTATGTCAACCATCCAGGCTCAGGGGCCGCTGAGGAATGTTGGCTGGCTTGATCTCGTGCGGCAGCCATAGCTGTGGGGGGGTTGATGAGAGCAACGGCACCGTCCCGTCCAGAAAAAAGACGCTGTACCCTCAACCCTCCCCAACCTTTGACCCTCTCTGCCCAGGCTTGTGAGCTGGGGGGGGTGTGGGACACAGACGTCCCGTTTGTGGCTGAGCTGTCCGTAGACACTTACCCTCTGCACTTTGGCAAGCTGTGAGTCTCTATTAAACAGCACCGTTCTACACAAAGATGGCTCTAGGCGCCTCCTGGTGAGGCTCAACCAGTGATTCTGGAGCCCGTTGTGCAGCAAGTAGGTCTGTGTGGTTAGGTGCCGAGGCATCTGCCTGAGCTGGCTCCGTCTTTACGGAGACCCACTCCTTTTCAAGGTTCCCTGTTTCCTTTTGGACAAAGCTCAGGATTTTTTAAGCTGCAGCTGTAGTCCCTACTGTGTGCATCTCAGTAGGTGTGGGCGTTGCACTGAGTAGGTGTGGAGGTTGCACTGAGTAGGTGTGGGCGTTGCACTGAGTAGGTGTGGGCGTTGCACTGAGTAGGTGTGGAGGTTGCACTGAGTAGGTGTGGAGGTTGCACTGAGTAGGTGTGGAGGTTGCACTGAGTAGGTGTGGAGGTTGCACTGAGCCCCCTTCTCCAGCCCTTTTCTCCTTCATCTTCCCTATCGAATTCTTGGATCCCAGCATCCACGTGCAGCCGATTTCCAGACATGTTGACATTCTGTCTTCACAGCCTCTTTCCCTTTACTTGCTAAATGCCCCCTGACTGTCACAGGATCCTGTCTGCTCTCCCGGAGTGGGGTCTCTGGTCGGTCTCTCAATCAAAGCAATGTCTTCCCCAAGTTGAGGGATGGATGTTGAGGGATCAGCTTTCTCTTTGCTGGCTCAACACATTACCGCAAACTTTTTTTTTTTTTTTTTGGTTTTTCGAGACAGGGTTTCCCTGTGGCTTTGGAGGCTGTCCTGGAACTCGCTCGGTAGACCAGGCTGGTCTCGAACTCACAGAGATCCGCCTGCCTCTGCCTCCCGAGTGCTGGGATTAAAGGCGTGCGCCACCAACGCCCGGCTTTTTTTTTTTTTTTTTTTTTTTGGTTTTTCGCATTACCGCAAACTTAAAGTCTTAAAACAATACATTTTTGTTTGTTTTGTCAGATACAGTTTCGCTCTGCAGCTCTGGCTGACCCGGAACTCTCTATGTACACCTGCCTGCCTGGCCTTGACTAAAGTCCTGGGATTAAGGTGTGTGCCACAAGAGCCAATCCCCTACAACACAGATTTACTTACACTCTGTGGGTTGGAAATGTCACTGGGCTAAACTAAAACCCGGCTGTCTGCAGGGCCTCCTCTCTGGGCTTCGGGGAGGGTCTGTGTCCCAGCCTTCCTGCAGACACTCCTTGTTGGGTCAGTAGTCCAGGGTCTTCTAACCCTGTTTCCGCAGTTACAACCCCGTTCCTCGTTAGGAGGGCGTCATCACTGCCAGGGCTCCCGAGTTTATGCGGGTCACACCTGAATACTCCAGAATTACTCCCTGCCACCAACCGTGACTCTTCAACCAGACACTCCCAAAGTCCCTTCAGTCGCGGAAGGAGGCAGTCACAGGTTCCAGGACAGGAACAGCTTTTGAGGGGACGTTTTCTGCCTACAAGAGAGACCCGTTACTTCAGATGGTCCGTTACTCCAGTCCTGGAACACAAGGACGTGCTGGGACTGCCCGTCTCAGCCACACACTCTCTTTCATCTCCGTAGACGGCATCTGTGGGCCTGGTTCCTTTTTACTCCAAGCAAAGCCCGGCTCTCCAATGTGGCCTCAGAGCCAGGGCTGAGAACCTGCTGGAAGCAAACTTAGCGCCCAGCAGAGAAACAAATGTGCAGTTCTACTCAGGGTTGTGTGTTGCTGCACGCTGCTGTTTCTTCTGAGGAGCAGGACCCTCCAAACAGGCCCCAGTACTTGCTTAGGCTCTCAACCAGGGTTACCAGTGGGAGGGGTCTAATGGTGTGACCCTCCCCCAGACTAGCATGGGGAAACGTCTCTAGACTCTGTAGTGAAGAGTGAAAAGTGACCACTACTCCTCGTTAGGACTCCACCCACACCACAGGAGCCTTCCTCACAGGGAGACTGGACAGCCATTAAAACAGAAAAGAAGCAGGCAGGCAGGCAAAAAAAAAAAAAAAAAAAGAGCA